GAAAAGCTACAGCACAGAGCGATCGTTGGTGTCTCTCCTGAAGTAAGTGGGAATTATCTAAATATTATATGTGAGTTAAAGTTATTCACAAAATGATTGTGTTTGTTCTACAGGACTGGACCTGATGAGCACGTAGAGGCTGTTGACAAGTTGCAGAAGTCTGTGAAGCTACTACTGAAAGTAAGAGACCCATTTCGACAAGCGAGACTGTATGTAACACACAGTATGTTCACTCCAACACATTGCACATGGACTCCCTAACAGTCATTCAAATTGTTTGTGCAGACTAACCTGAGCTTGCTTCGAGACATGGCTGTCGTCATCACTCAGAACTTTAAGAACGACCCCCAGAGAGGGAACTTCTTCAGCTTGCACAAGTAAGAGACAAGACACGTGTTCAAGTTGAAGGGCTGGTTAACGGAAGTCAGGGGGAAATGTAATGATCAACCAAGTCAGATCTTTAAAAGCTTAAATGTTTTGGCATGTTTTCAGCCGTCCTTTATTAAGTGGTTTCTGTAATACTTATTTTGGCCACAAGAGGCTGAAATGCACTAGTACCCCGTGTGCTGACTAGGAATAAAAGCAGCAGATTAGCAGCCATTAAAACACATTTCTAGCCAAAAGAAAGACAGGACAGTAGATGCACTTCCCAAATTCAAGATAACTAAAAAGAAAACAATGCTGACAAAGAAATGTCCAACTGCCAGAAATGTTAGAGATAAAAATGTTTAAAAAAAAAGAGTCTATTCTTGTCGCCCACAAACAAGTTAAGATTTTGGAAAATGGATAACCTTTTTTGTCTTACTTGCCTCTCAGGGGAAGCTCGTTTCTAGGTCAGCATTTAAAGTACAAAAAACACTTCTCTTTCTTCCAACAGAAAAGAGGGTGACAATGAATTCATGAACATCATTGCCAATGAATTAACCACCGAGGTAAGTTTCTAATCCTCTACCTGTTCACTTCAACATCTTAGCTGTCTTTTTTGTTAAGCCTGATTTTGTCTGCTTTTAGGGAACTTTGGTTTTCCTGACTGTTGGAGAGGAGAAGGGCCCGGGTCTGTTCCTACTGGCTGGACCCAGTGAGCGAGTGGCCGAGATGGGCCCGCGGTAAGAGACGACACCACATTATGTAGCCGTTGCTTTTAAAAAAAAGTTGTTTGCGGGTGAGATATTAATTTCTTGTGCTCTCCAGGGTGCTGGAGATGCTCCAAGGGAAGGGGGCAGGAAAAAATGGACGTTTCCAAGGAAAAGCTAACAGCCTGGCACGCAGAGGGGAGGTGGAAGCTTTACTGGAACAGCAATGCAAACGGGAAGAATAAACCCAGCAATGATTTAATAACAAATACATATTTTTTTATGAATACGACTTTTAGAAGCCATTAAAAGGATAGCTTACCGGATTTGTGTTAAACACTAAATGTTAGTGTCATTACACAAACCACGAAATTGGATAATTTTTTGAAAATTTGTATTTCATGGACCTCTGTACAACATGTGCTGTACATATTTGAATGTTAAATGCCATTTACAGTTTTAACTGTTTAAAAACTCTTCGTTAAACCTTATGTGATATGATTTTGTGTTGAGTCTTATTTCTGAAACCCTGCTTGCTAGTGGTGTTTACAGCCGCTTGAAACATTAAAAATGCATTTCTACCGACTGATACAACAAAAACCAACACTGTTTGAACGACATTTTTAATAACTTTAATTTAAAAGACCAGTGAGAATGTAATGTACAAAATACAGACACTTTTATGCTGTTGGTAACTTAGGTCTTACATTGTTTTTGGCATTTAAGTAGGCAGAAAATAGAAACCCTTGTATAGAGTAATGCAATAAAAACAGTCCTAATAACTCCTACCTTTTTTTAACAGTTATTATATATTCATTTATTATTTGATCACCCCATTAACATACGAGTAGTGACACCCTACAACACAATCTAAAATCCTATAAGTGAACCTTTTACACATTTTTAAAGTTAAATTAGGACGGTTGAATTGCATTAAATGATACAGGGCCTTCTGTTTTCCCGGTGTTTGGAAACATTAGTTATTAGTCACGTCCGTCACAGTGTAGTCATTGAAAGTGTTCATTAAGTGTTCATGATAAGATAACAGTGCAAATGTGCAAGCACCCCTTCCCCATTTAGACCTTTATAAAATACTATAGGCAATAAAAAGATATTG